GACGCAAGTTACGCATACGCATCTTACGCCCCATGTGAAACCAGCCTGAGTGTCATGCATTATCATGCATTACCGACGCTTTGGACATAGCACGGAACAGAACCAAAAGATCGTGCACATAGCACGGATCAGAACCAATAGAGCGTGCACATAACGCGTTACCCATCAGAAATTTTCGTGGACATGGCTACGTAGTTCAATGTGCACGTTTTGTGCACATAGAGGCGCTCGTGGACGGGGACCACCTAAAGAGATTCTAGTTTTGGCGTAGCGGCCTAATTTGATTGGTCTAGGGACTTTGTCGGCTTGAGTTTCCGGTTTTTGCTCCAGTTGGTGCTGAATCGACGTATCTCTCGTGATAAACCTCACGGAACCTGTCGCCTGTCACCGTTTACATCCCATCGATTTTACGTACCTACAACAATGACGTCAGATGATTGACTTTTACCTAAACATCACGTAAATTCAACAGTGTAAATTCAGCCGTTAAAGGCCTTCTACAGAAAAACCAAGGTATGTCTCGTTTAATATGTGCGACTGATATTCCGATAATATCAGCCCTGACGTGGCTGCTTTTTGTCACCAAATTGTTTTTCATAAGATAAAATTATGTCGAAACAATTACATGTAAATAGGCGGATTATTAATTTTCCACTGTGACTTACACGATTCACGAAGACCAATTGCGGTTTTTGCATTTAGTTCCTTAGGTCCAACTTGTCAATCCTATTTTCTAAATTGTTTATTCAGAAAGTTAGATAATGGCCGCTGTTCCTTTGATGTTGCTGGAGGAGGATGTTGAACGGGGTGGCAAGGAAAGATCCGATCATGAGATAGAGGATGACTTTGCCTACAGGAACAATGTGCATAATGCAGATATCAAGATACGAATGGGTAATTGTGCAACATTACAGAAATTTAAAATTACGTTGACATATGCTTGCTATAAGGTACTCATAATTGTAATGATTGTAATTGTGATGATCAACATTTGTAATAATGGTTGTAAAATCGTGACGTTGCAACGTAATCTTGTAATATATGAATTCCATGCAATGTTTGTTCTAATTAGGCGTTAACATTGATTTTGTCTAGGCTTCTTGCGGAAGGTTTATGGTTTACTGACCATCCAGATCCTGATGACGGTCGCGCTGGCCTCAGTGTTTGTCATGAGCTCGACCGTGAAATTATACGTGAAGGATAAGTAAGTATTCCTCTTCATTGTATATTTAATTCGCGCTATTAGATGGGAGAAATGTCGTTAATTATTTTGTTTGTTGTCCAGCCTAGGGTGGAGCATGAGTTTAGTGTTTTTCTTAACAATGGGAATTTTAATCGCTTTGATGATCAAAAGGAGGGATCATCCTGCCAACTTGATCCTCCTAGGCGCATTTGTAAGTACGAGAAATAGATGATTATTGTTAACTCCGTTGTACGTGATATCTGTAAGGATTTACTCTGGAAATTGCAGACGCTGGTGATGGCGTATAACGTCGGAGTCATGGTGTCTATGTACGATACCACAGTCGTCCTGGAAGCTCTGTTCATAACACTGACAGTTTTGCTCAGCTTGACAGCTTACACCTTTCAAACCAAACGAGACTTCTCATTTCTAGGATTTGGGTAAGTGTCTCTCTCTCTCTCTCTCGTGTCTCAAGAGTTCTACAATCGTTCATCTTTCTCTTCACTTTCAACAGATTGTTCATCGGACTCTGGTGCCTCTTGCTCGGAAGTGTGATGCAGATCTTCGTTCAGAGCACCGCACTGGAATTGGCCATGAGCATCGGAGGTGCACTGTTGTTCTGCCTGTTCATTGTTTTCGACACGCAACTTATAATGCACACTCTCTCGCCCGAGGAGTATATTTTGGCGACGATTAACATCTATCTAGATATAATCAATTTATTCTCTCATATATTACGAGTGCTTGCTATTTCAAGGCAGTAAACAGTATTCGTCATGGGTAGCGACTGTTTATACACGACTTGAAGGGTTCTGTTCGGGGCCGTTAGGGACGTGCAACAGTCGCTACCCATGACAATCGTCGCAATGTCGACGATACGTATATACGCGAAATCCAGGTCTATACATAAGCTTGTATTTTTTATCAAGTGTTTTTAGCTCTTGAAATATAATTAGGGTGATGTTTTCTAGTATCAGATATAAGGAATTGTCTGTGAATGAAAAAGAGACAAATTTGACAGTTTTGTTTTTAATATTTTATTGTGACAAACGCAAAAATATATCAAAATTACGATGTTTCCATGGCGGCCGTTACATCTTCTGTATATTTGCCCTTGTCCTTACCCAACGCAGCCAGTCTACCCTTGCTTCGCCTATCGATAATCTTTTTACGATCTTTATCCATTTTCAACTTAACAATAACCGTCTGGAATAATAATATGGCAAGTTAAATTCGAGTGCGAGGAAATTGCAAAGTTGAAAGAAACTTGCAACAATATAAGATCAGAGCCAATCTTTCTGCATCAATTAGATCAAGCAAGACTCGTCGACAAATATGCAGGAAAACCCTGCACAAAGTTTCCAAGTCAAGCTATTTGTCTAATTCTATGTGAATGGATTGGGTTAGTTCATCATGAATATAAAGATAGTGCAAGATTCTTTAATCGTAATACGCCCACATCAGTCTTACCTTAGAAGGATCGATGCCGACATAGACATTAGCACTATTTGCCTTCTCACGTTGAATTCGCTCAATGTATATCACGAATTTCTTCCTGTATACCTGGACAACTTTTCCTACTTGCTGACCCTTGTAGTGACCACGTACTACCTTTAAAAAAAAATGCATTGTAGACACACGTTTGGGTTTAATTCCTATTTTGAATTCCTTTGAAGTATAAATTCTCCAAAATTCTTATCATAAAAATGGAGCAGCTTATATTCTCGCTAATATGTATCATGTAAGTTATGCTCATATACTTAATTTATATTGTAACGTTTACAATTAAAATGTATGCACTCACATGTTTCAGTATTAATATTTAAATATCTTAGTACCCAGTGGCTGCGTTCTGCCGATACTCCGCTAGCCTAGCAATCGTGAGCAGTCGCTCGTTTCCTCTCCTTTGACCTAATGGATTAAAAGGAGAGGAAACGAGCGACTGCTCACGATTGCTAGGCTAGCGGAGTATCGGCAGAACGCAACCAGTGACATTAATATAAACACAGTGTATAAAGCGCAGAAGCTGAAGCAATCGACTCACCTGTACTTCATCGTCCTTGCGGATCGGCATCGACCGCACATTGTACTTTTGTCGCAGCTCCTTGGACAGCGGCGCGGACATGAGCCGCCGTCTGATGTGAGAAGGCGCTGTGAAGTGCCGCTTTCTGTTCTTCCTGCGCGAGGAGGATACCAGGCGATTGTACTTCATCCTCGTAGACTCTGCAACGAAAATCAATTGTAGATAGGAAATTAAGTGATACCGACCTTAAATTTGTTCGCGGTATCGATTTTAATGTTGCTGTATATACTGCGTCGAGACGCAAATGCCTCGCGACGTGACGGTTCAGGTTATACGACGATGCAACGTGTCGAAGTCGACGCGATTTTTCACACACGGCGGAAAATAAGACCGGCGGGCGTGAATAGTGATTCTGCAAATTCTCATTTGTATGAAATATCGCTTCGTTTCTCGCCGATTCGGCCAGATTCCACGCGATTAATATCCCATACAACTCACCGAACAGCTCAACGCGGCGGCTTTAACCGGAAGAATATTACTAGGCGAAATGCGGCTACTTGCGCAACACGCGGCGCAACGAGCGCCGCGACAGCCAATCACCTACCGTCGCACCGCGCAGGTATCTACGTCATTTCCGGAAAAAGCGGACAGAATTATAGCTCGGGAGAAAGCGGGACATTCAATTTAGACATCTCGATTTACATAACGACAGAAATTTCACGTTTTTTTCTAGAATTTTTGCTGCACTAGAATCACAACTGAAAAATACTATTAAGCTCTCTTTAACATTTTAAAATTAAACAAATGTATATATTTTTATTTCTGAAAAATATTAATGCTTGAAATGAGACTGGTCGAGTCTGAGAACAATTCTTATCGAAAATTCTCTGAATGATGTTCAATAAAGGCGCACGCTTTCGCAATTCATGTATTTTCAACAAATACTTACAAGTAAATTAACATGATGAATAATTTACATTCATATTTGTATCACTGACATAAGGGAGTGTCAATGGCTTGTAAAATCGTCTAATAATCTCGACGGCGACATAGAAATTGATATAAATGTTCTACAGAATTAATCTTGTCGTGATATAAAAGAGATATGCACGGTTGTTTTATTGAAGAAAAGAAATTTGCTTCTCAATGAATCATCGTAACATGATATTTATACTAGATTACAGTTCCTTAATATTTAAACAATTTATCAGAATTCTATGTACACGAAACTTTCCGAATAATTATATATATGCAGATGTCTCCATCTTTGTCGCATTTCCTTTCAGCGACGTGTTTTCTTAATAAGTTCATTGGCCTATTAATCTTTTCATTTGAAAGAAAAATGAACTTTAAAACGATCACATACAAGGAATTCGTTGCAAGGATATTCGATGAATCCAAGACAATTCCGCATATATATATATCGAACAACTAATCAACTTCGCAGAGAGATTAATTTACAATAAAAAAAGAGGTTTCTTTTTTACAAGTACTCTTTTATCTACAGCTTGCATTAGCCACGCATGCTCGTTTTAAGTATGCATTGTATCGTGTAAGAGAGATTCTCTAGGACGTCATCAGGCTACACAGCCATGCAAACGTACGATGTATATATATTTGGTGTTATCCTTTGATTTTTAGTACAATGTAAAACTAGATTACTTTGTTTCTCATAATATAATCACGTATAATTATCATGTCCTATCCGTAAGTAGCAGCATCGTATTCGTTGTCAGATGCGAGGTGATTTCACAAAAAAACTCTCCCTTTAGCTTCATCATAATAAAAATGGAGTTTATCACTTTCAGAGAATGCATTTAATTATGCATTTACATGTGTTCCAAAGAATTGTGCGACTGTAAATTGAAATAAATAACGGCATATCGTGCAATCGTTAAATACGAGAATATAATCGTTATCACAATTGTATGATTTTAAGTAATTTGCGATTTCAGACATATGTAACGTAATATCGTATCGAAGAAAAAAAAATCAGGCGCGATCCAAAGAACAAAGTAATCCGATGACAAAGGGATTTACTAAAATATTCGTCTGAAGTAGAATACTCGCGTTGCTACTATAAATCCTTTTGTTATAAATAACGTAACTATAACCGAACATGGTGACTACAGCTTAACCATTATTATTAAATGAACTTTTACCATGTACAATTCAGCGATTCTAGGTATATAATACCTCGAAATCGTTTAAAATAAATCTGGTGATCTGCATCATTTGCCGCTTTCGTCATCGTATAATTACATGTAATAACAAACGTTACAAATTTCCTATAACGCTCCTCCCCGAGCAGCACTCGATTGTGAATTGAATTGATTGGTATACAATATAATTCTTTAAAATATAGAAAAAATATACATTCCGTGCCTGTGTGAATTGTATATAGCCGTAAAATCATCACATACTCTCTTTATAAACATACATGTACAACAGTTATCCTCCCTCAAAGTTATTACTAATTGCACCGACGCGTTAACGGAGTTAACTTATATATATATTCAAAACGAGCCTCGTGCGCATTAACAGGGTGTTCCGGACTAATTTAAAATATAAATTAAAAATCTTAAAACAAAAAAAATTTTTCTTTGAAGATATGCTCGCAAACGCTTCGTTCGAAAGATATTCACTTTTGAAGTTACAGAACAATTAAAAATGAATAATTTCGAAATAATATAGGTATATCCTCTTTATTGCTTTACAGTAATCAAAATTATTTTAATTTGTAGGAGATTTGGGGCCGTAGGGCCAGTATTGATGAGGGATCGGAGAAATTAGCGTAGTAGTGGAGCAGTCGTGGGGTAGCAGCCTAAGTGCTAGGCGTATGACGGAAGGATCCCAAGTTCGAGTCCCGGTAGCTCCGTTAATTTTTCTCTGCGCTTACAAATTATTTTAATTTTGATTACTATTAAATAGTAAAGAGGATAAATCTATATTATTTCGAAATTATTTATTCCTAATAGTTCTGTAACTTTAGAAGTCAATATCTCTTGAACGAAATGTTTACGAGCCTCTAGAGGAATTTTTTTTGTTTTAAAATCCTAAACATCCTTCATATTTCAAAGTTTGACCGTTTAACTCGGGAATACTCTGTACGATGGCTCACGAAAGGCTCGTTTTATTTTCACTTTTCATGATCCGAGAATATCAGTGCGTGTCTTTCGCATTGCAATAAGATTCCAAGATCAGGCATGGGCGGATTAATTTCAGTTTACCAATGCGTATCGTTATCGCAGCATATAAATTACATAACAATTTGTACAGATATATTTTAGACAACATATTTCTAATCGTGAACTAATTTCCGCATATAATAGTTCGCGAGATATTCCCCCTCAGATTCGGAAGCTCTGTACTTCGTCGCCAGAGATCGGCGCTCTTGACTTTTGATAAATCGAATGGTAGTTTATCCGAGGACGCCGCGACACTGATCTCAACGTTATCCAAGAGTTACAAATGCGACGTGTAAAAATTTCAAAATTATGTTATCACCGTTGTTTCCGGTGTGACTCAATTATTCATTACGTACAAACGACAGCCGCACCTAGATAAAAATTAATATTCAGTTCCAAAACGAGTTATCGCGATATATACACGTACAATTAGCGGTGACGATGGGCATTGCGAAGACACACCGAGTGTCCCGTACATTTCAGCTAAGGATGCTTCGAAAACGAAACGTCTTACGCGGATTATACAAGTTCTTTCGTATCTTCGAGCGTCCTCAGCCCTCGCTTACGGAAGACAACGAGCTACGCGTAGACTCGGTCGTATGGTGTGTTAAGTCAGGAAGATCGGCCGGCAAGCACAATGGTATCGCACTAGGCCCGTAAATCGCCTCTTGCTCCTCCAATTGTAACGCAAACTGTTCCTCAAGTTTCTGTAAGGCGAGAAAGACATGTTAGAAAATCTATTTCTTTACACATACTTAGATATAAGTAAAATAATTATAGTAGATTATAATTATCGCGTTACTAATTAGCAATGCAACAGCGTTTAACTCTGGAAAAAAAGGGAAAAGTGTTTTATATTTACAAATGACTGTAGACGCGTCTGAAATGTGGACCGACGATATTTTACAATATTGTAGACTAACCTTGGTGGCTATTTTGTACACAGCTTTGAAATCCAACTTGTGGAATCTCTTTCTAGCTCTATTAGGATCTTTTCTTTATGGGATTTACATTTAAGTTGAGGACTGTAATGCAAACTGTATACGCTATTAAACAACCAGTAATTATGGGAACCTTTAAGGAAACCGCGTTTTATAAGTTATTCCGCTAACTCTAATACATAGCCCATGGTAACACCACACTGACCCTGTTATTTCGATATTTAACCGATTAAGCTCTCGTAATGAAGCAACATAATTTACGATTACATTAAAATACATGGACGAGACGACAACTACTAGCGATGAAACTCTTTACTTTGAACACGCATAATCTTAAGAATATACACAAGTTACATCATTTTTTTAAAGCTAAATTATTTCGAAGGATGTTTTTCCTTAATAACATTAATTCCATTTGGTATTTGCGTATTAGAAAATTAATTAGAACTTTACACAAGTTAATTAATAGAGTTCTTTACCGCTTTACACTTTTCTTTATCGATGGATTTTGTTTTTTTATCAATAACAAACGGATAAAAATGTAATTGAGTTGAAGCAAGAGTAAACGGGGGACACTAACATACATATATGTTATGTATATCTCACACAACAGAACTTAAATATTACATAGACCTCGAGAAGCATGAAGATCTTATCCGATTCGTGCATACTTCCTAGATGTGGAATCATGACTCACAAAAAAATAAATTAATTTACCGTACTATATGATACGATTTCTGCCATACATGTCCCATAAATTTTATATGAAAAACATAGTTACTTATCTATCTCTAAGTTATGTTAACAACTCCTTGGATAATTACATAAAAATATATATAACACAATCTACATATTTAAACACACATATATGCAACAACAATTGATATAAATGCTGAAGTCCAAAGTTATTGCGTTAGCACTAAAGCGCCAGTGAGTAAAGCAGAGAAGATTATTGATAGTTATTTATGACCAGGAAAGTGCTATGTAAGCAGGGAAGTCTTACAAACGTTTGCAAGAGAACGATAATGAAAAAGATCGCAACACACACTTCGACTGTATCTCCGAATTTACACGGTTTAGAATGTTTCTTTAATGTTCCTTTCTATTACGAGAAGACACGGAGAAGGATTAATAGACATCGCGTGCGCGTGTATATGTAAAACTTCCCCAAATAAAATGTGATATGAACGAAACGTTGAGGATGATTTTGAGATACTATCTACGGGAGTACGGCACTAGGTCTGGCTTGGAGTAGCTTCGTGAGAGCGTGCCGTTCGACACGAAGGTACCCGAATCCGAGCCACTCATCTTCAGTGACACCCTGGGTATGGTGAAAGACGGGGAAGTGGGAGTGGAATGTGGTAAGCGCGGTAAGCGTGGGGGTCTCCTCCAAGTGTCGGTTTCAAAATAGTTAAAAGGGGGAAAAGAGAGACCACTAAGACCAGAAGAAGGCAAATAATCTTGGTAGCGCTTTTCCAATGCTTCCATTTCAGCCGCCAGATCAGCTTCTATCTTCTATAACAGGTACATCAAGACTTATTTCAGACTTATGTCGAGACCTAGTTCAATACTTGGCGCGTCTAAGTTACTTCATCAACTGTGAATTCGTATTTCCTTCCCGTTGCGCTCTCGTCAATTTACTTTTCATCTTGATTTACAGCGACTTCGTTTCATTAATGATTAGTCATGCAAGTTAAGCTCCGCGCAAAGCGACGCAAGCTAAATGCAAAAGCGGACATCTCTGTTACAAAAATCGAACGATCGAGTTTACGTCTTACATCCCATATGTAACGGCCAGCTGATCGCGAATTTCTCTGCGTCGGTTTGCGCCGACCTTCGAATTGAACTAAATTCTCACACTGCTACAGAAAATGAGTAAAATCAAAACGTAATTTTGAAAGTAAAGCACATCGCTTAACCAATAGAAAATTAAAAGGCAGTTGTACGTACTATTAGGCCGCAAAGATTAAAAGAATTTTTGCATCCAAGAAACACATCGATAAGACAAAGATAAGATAATTTTAAGATAACATTATCTACACCAAACTGGTGTAATTACCTGCTTGCGTGGCTTAAGTTGCGCCTTCCACTCACGAATTTCTCTCCCGTAGGCCTCCTCCTGTTCCTTCAACTTCAGCGTCTCGTGCTCCATCAACATTTTCCGCTTCTCGTTCTGCAACTGCTCCAATTCCTTGATCGTAGCATCGCTCTGGGCCCTCACCTCCTCGAGCTGTCTGGAATGCTTCAGTTCGAATCTCTGCTGCTCCGCCCTGTATCTCTTCTTCTCGTTCTCCTGAAACTTCTTCAGCTTCTCCCGCTCGGCGTCGGGATCCGGCGCGAGTACGGACGACATCGAGATCCTCATCGATTCTCGGAACATCATCTCACGCGCCTTCATCTCGTTGCGAATTCTCTTCGGCAGATTCCTACGTTCCACCGTTTGTCGCTTAATTAACTCTTCCTCCTTCCTCTGATTCATTCTTTTCATCTGTTCCAGCTCCTTCTCGTGGCGTATGAGCATCTGGTGTCTCTGCAGGAAGAAGATATCCTTGAGCTGCTTCTTGAGCAACTGCTGCCGCTCGTGTATCTGTCGTTCCTCCAGCTCCCAGATAGCCGCCTCTCGGCCGCGCATCAATTGCTGCTTCTGCTGCAAGAACTGCCGCTCCATCAACGCGATCTTCTCGCGATGGCTGTCCGACAGTCGTCTCAGCGACATTTCGTGGCTCTCGTTGAGCTTCTCCAAGAAGAGCTTCTCCCGCTCTTCGTGTTCCGCCTCGAGCTTCTCTTTCCGTATCTTAAACGCGCTCTTCCGCTTGTCCTTTGGCATCAAGTCTATCTCTTGTTTGAGCAATCGTAATTCTTGTTTTAGGCCCTCTCGGAACTGTTTAAGTTCCCTCTCTTGCTCGCTCCGGATCTTCTTGGACGACAGTCGCAGATCGACCTCCTGCTGCGCCTCGGCGCGTTCGATTTGCTGTCTCTGTTGTCGGGCGAGCGCTTCTAAATCCGCCTCGGCACTCCGTTCCAAGATTTGTCGCTCTTGCTCGAATCGCTTCTCCTGTTGGTCCTTGTTGAATTGAGCCTTCTGAGACAGATCCTGGAATTGTTTCTGCTCCATCTTTTGCAGCATCTTTAATTCCCGCAGTTCTTGCTTCCTGAATATCTGATCGTCGTACACCTTACCGTTCTCGTCATCGCCGTATATCACTTTCGAGGTCGTTGTCGTCATCATAACACCATCAATCTCAAACTTTCTCGTGCGCTTTCTTGTCTTTTTCTTCAGATTCATCATCTGTATGTCTTCCTTTGTCCTGGTTGGCCGGGATATCTCACGATTGTAATCGGGTTTTCGACGTAGGACGACCTCGTCAACCTCCGTATGTTGAGGTTGATTCAAACGGTTTTCCTTGTTCGATTCCCTACTATCCTGACTGATCGTCGTCGAGATAGACTCGGCGTCGGAACGATCGATGCTCTTACTCGGTGTATGCGATCTTATAGAACTAGAATCGCTCTGGGATCTGGAACCCTCGAAGCTGTCCGGAGAAACTCGTTTCTCCTTACCGAAGCTCTTCACGTTGACTTCTTTCGGTTTGACCGTCTTCACGATCCTATCGTCGGCGTGATGTGGCATCTCGTTCTTGATCAATCCATTTAGCTTCTTCGCGTTTCTCTCGTAGTCATCAATATCCGGAGACTCGATGGTCGTACTGGCAACTATCACCTTGCCGCTCTCGTCCCCGCTGTCGCTCCTCAAGCTCAATCTTTCGTTTGAGCTCAGATCGCTGTGAGACGAGCCGGTACGAATAACGTTGTGCTTCTTGGATATCGATGAGTCTTTTACTTGTTCCTTGTCCTCGCCTACGGTAACCACCGAAACGTGACTGGTATCCTGCAACTCGTCCACGATAGGGCTCACTATAACCACCTCCGATTCGTCCAATTTCTTGCCGATTCTCTTTGACACGTCAGTAAGTACGATAGGCTGTTCCTGCGGTGTGTATTCCAGACTATCCAGACTAGGAAACGCATCGTCGTCGATAGAATTATCGTTCACCTGAGTCTTGTTCATCTCGTTGGCGACGATAACGACTTCCGACGTCGGCGAGGTACGACGCGGAAGAGGCGTCGTCGTCGCGGCCGTCGTCGAGGGCGCATCCACCAATACGGGCGGATGCGTCGTCACGACGGTTACTTGACTTATGTTGCTCGCCAGACTGTTCGACATATCCGGCGAGTCGGCAGTGATATGGACGGTCGATGTATTTAAGCGTACTTCTTGCTCGGGTTGAGCTTTCCCTGTAACGTAACATGTAATATAAGCAAAAAACAACAAAAAAGCGACAATTATTTAAGACAATGCACTTATTTTTTTTTTACCAGTAATAACAACTATGTTATCCCCGCTGCTTCTCCTTGAACCGCTTCTGCTTCTGATCGGCGTCGACGTAATCACCGATACGTTAATTCCCGGATCTTGTTTCTCTAAGCCTTGTTTGTCATCGCTCGCCGCGTCCTCCTGATTGTAGTCCGTCTTAATTCTATCTGTTTTAGCGCGCAATTCGTCCGAGAAGCTTTCCAGAGAATTTCTAGACGATCCCGCGCTGCGACTTTTCGCGGAACTCTCAGTCTTTGTTACGCCAAACTGCGTCTTAATATCTTCCGTAGAACTAGCTTTAACGTTATTCTTCTCCGATAGGAGCGTCGACGCGACGGATACGTGCTTCGTGTCCATAGTACCGTCGCTTATTCTTTTCTTAGGATCCATGGATAATCGCTTCTCCAATACGGCGTTCAATTTCTCCCCAACAGTTTTCCGCTTTTCTTCCAAACTCTTGTAAACTTCCTTCTCTCGAGATTGCTCGTAATTCGTTACGTCATCAACGGATGATAGCTTATTTTTTGTTCTAAATGGAAATATTGTTTTCCGATAAACAGAATTTTCTTTGGATCAGTATTTCTTCTATAAAGTTAACTTCTAAATAAAAAAATAAATAAGTAATGCTCACCTGTTCTTATCTTCAAAAGAAGATTGCTTATATATTATCTTGGACAGGTCCTCGATCATCTCGGGCTTTACGGGTGCCGACTTGCGTTTTTCATTTATCCCCAATTGTTTCTTCGAGGCAGAACTCGATTTATTGTTTATTAACTTCTGTTGACTCTCAAATCTTCTTATATTGTCAAATAATTTACCGTTACCCTCACTTCCTATTTTTTTCATCTTCTCGGATACGTCCAATTCATTTTGCGTCTGATTTTCAGTCTCTAAATTCTTTTGCTCTTTAACATTTATCACCTGTTGATCCGCCGTCTTTTCATTTTGCAATAACTTATTAACATGCGGCTTATCTTCTGTGGATTTCTGTTTATTCGCTAGATTTGCAGCTTTTTCGACTGTTTTCGGAATGTTATCTCTTTCTTCGTCTTTCTTCTTTTTCTCCTCGCTATCTTGACGCATCGGTGGTGGCGGAGGTGCCGGCCCTTTATCTCGAGATAATCTGCGCTCATTTGTCTCACTCGGTGGCTTAGGTGCCTGCGCAAATAATTACATACGTGCTATTAACAAACATTCATTCTCTGCGTAATCGATGAGTTGTTAATCAATAAGAAAATTATATCATGTACCTGCTTCTTCTCGGCAGGAGGTTGTATGTTCTCTTTGGACTCAGCCTTACGTAATCTCTTATTCTTGTCCTCTTTCTCACCATCCCGATTGATCTCGCGCTTGTGACTCTCCTCTTTCTTCACAGGCAATGCCACGAGATTTTCTTTTTCGGGGACTGGAAAAAGTAGAGAAAAGTATTAATACATTTTATAATATTGTGTATATTAGATACATAATTTTGCAATACTCACTCTTAACATCAGCATCAAGGCGCGTAGGAGCGGAGTCATCTGTGATTTGATCCAGCTCCAGAGGAAGCTGAGACGTGCGCTGCTCCTGAAATATTAACGTATACATTGAATGCAAACATGAAAAAATAAATAAATATAAAAATCTCTTTCGATTGTGAATCATTTGGTTTCCATTACAAATGACATGATACTAAGTAGCATGTAACCAGATACACAGATAAAAATGTCAGAATTCGCAGATTACAATTATAAATTTGCAATTTATCATTTTGATATGAAAAATGTGAAATCATGAAAAAAATAAAACAAAGAAAACATTATCTCATGCTATATGTAATATAATTATGTGGTGGTCCATGTAAATTTTACAAATTGTTTTCTCGGAAACTATTAAGGACAACAAGATTTCTTTTGGGATTTTAAAGTTGAAGTCTTTTATATGTCTGAGAAGGGAAAGGGGAAAACACAAGAAGGGGGCAATCTTATATACTTTTCTTTCTAATAGATTAATTCTTCTTATCATTACGTAAAAGTATCCAGATGAAATATTTCTGACAATAGTGTACTATTCATTTCATAAAAAGCTACAGCAAACTTCAAAAAGTCAAAGAAGAATTTTGTTTCCGAGAAAACAGCTCGTACTATATTATATGAGCCATTTATAAAACATATTTTTTGTATAGTAGCATATACAGCATATTTTTTAAGTTTATATATTACGTAGCTCAGGATTAATTAATCCTGTTTGGCGCACAGAATGCAGCGGCGCAAACTACTAACCTGACGCGCATTGGGATAATGAGGCTGGCGAGGGCCAGGAGAACCGCATGCACAGCCAAAGTAATAAAATTATCACAACACATTTATCATGATCATAACATATTTCATACATAGAATATTCTATCATTGATACTATTGATCCTACATTTTCAATAAATCATTCCTTATAATAAAAGAGAGCAACAAAATTAATTTTAAACGCATGCAATATTTAATTGCTATTGTAATATAAATATTTAATGGTCACGTCATGCGTAGTCACATATAAATACGAACAGTCACGTCTTATGTATTTAAGAACTGATGACTTGGTTTTCGTTATTTAAGAATTGACAACTTGGTATAAATGATCAATGTGTTCTTAATGCATTCTAATTTCTCAGGGACACTTGTCAGGACTAATAGTCGGGGTTCTAATTGATGCAACATCTGATCAACAACTTTCTAATAATTTCTTCCATTTTACAAATGGATAGGGGTAAGACATGTATGCTTCACACAGAAGCAGCTTACCAATTCGCTGATATTGTTCTCTGTGTTTTTTCGCTTTTTTGGCCCTCTATAATAACGGAAGCATGTAACAATGTGCAATACATGTTAATTCTGCATTATCAGAAGCTCTGTGCATAACTATTTGAATTATAAAATGGGCGTCTATCACGCTATTACATTAAAATATAAATTCTTGCACTAGAGCGAATTTCTTTGAATGGACCTTAGTTTTGATATTAATGCAACTACAGTATAAACTAATGTAAGAGAAACGCTATGTTAGAAAATGTTTATTCTTTATAAAGCATGTGTTAGACTTTTAATTAAAGTGATATACTTGCATGTATTTTGAATATAAATATTTATATATACACGTTACACGTTCAGTCTTATAAATTTATAATTAATCGTATTATTTCTATATTGCGTATGATCTGCATAATTAACATGTACATGAAAAACAAAATGGATAGGGAATGAAAAATAGAACCTACCTCTGCTTCCTCATCTACCAGCTCTTCTTCGACAACATCCGCCTTATATTCAAGTAACAAATCCCTGATAGGCTTTGGATCTAAATTTCGGCTTATAAACGGATGTTTTAACAAATCATCAGCTGTGGGTCGTGAGGTCGGGTCCTTTATAAGTGCTTTAGCAATAAAATCATTAAATTCCTTACTCCATTTCCCGGGCTGATCCAGTTTCGGCGGATCGCCTTTCTGTATTTTAAGTAGCACTCGCATCGGTGACATTTCGTGGTTCGGTGGTTCCATTTGTGCAAACTCTATAAGAGTTATACCAAGAGACCAAATGTCCACCTAAACAGGTCAAGTTTACGTGTTCGGTATAACGTCTTTTAAGTCACAGTGATCGAAAGTACATTTATATTTACGATGTGCCTACTTTAAAATCGTAAGGATTATCCCTAAATGTCTCGCACAGGACAACCTCGGGTGCCATCCAGTAAGGGGTTCCAATAAACGTATCATGCTTTTGCAGAGTATGCTTGTTCTTTGCGGATACGCCAAAGTCAGCTATAATTAAAGATGAAACCCTTTATATATGTCACATTTAACACAATAGTAAGAAAGTTACTAATTTTTTGGGGATATTTACCTATCTTAACACCCCCTGCCATAGTCAGCAAGACATTTCCCGCCTTCAGATCCCTGTGTACGATTTTGGATTTGTGTAGAAAGGCAAGACCTTTAGTCATGTGCTGGCAGACGTATGCAATTTGCAATTCTGTTAATGCCTTTTCCAACTCGACCATTATAGAATCCACAGCACCACCATCACAATACTCGATTAACATCTGCAAAAATATTTTCCTCTTTCTCTAATCTTTTTTTTTTTCAAAGTGATTACTTAATTGCATCACAAAAATAATCATTTTATTTGTAAAAAAAGCCTTCGCTATAAATAATTACGATACGTTTGCCAAGTATAGAACAAGTATAAAGCATACCCATAGTTTCCCATCAATGAAATAAGCTTCGTGTAATTCAACGATGTTGGGATGCTTGCATTCCGACAAAATGTCTATCTCGATCATAAAATCGCTAAGATCGTCCTCTCCCTCCAGCGCACACATTTTCGCGGCGGCAAGCTGATTGGTCTGCTTATGTTGCGCCTAAAGTAACGATCGTTTAAAAAGACCACTAATAAAACAAGCAAGTTTGACAGACTGGGATTTCTTAAAATGCTACATTACCTTGTAAACTTTACCGAACGCACCGTCTCCCAGTTCACCCACCATTTCCCAAAATTCCTCCGGATTACAGTCCATCTTGATGTTGTTGTACAATTTCTTCTTCTTCGCGTCGTTACCACCGAAGTGGAAGGCCTTCTTCAGATTCGATAAGAACGACATTTTGGTAGCTATATCTCGATATATTCCGCACGTACACTCAAATCGGACTATTTATTGCAATTTAAACACACGGAGAACCCTCAACAACGCACTCTCCGCTGTACAAAATGTAACTATTAACAACCGCGCATTAAATTTGTAGTAAAATATAACTTTAGTGGGCGCTCAAAAGAGCTCAGTAACCATTTCTCAGCACTGCGATATGTGGGAACGCGTAAAACAATATCACTTCACACAGTCCGCATTATTTTTACATCTACTTATATCAAGATAAGTTCTTCAAGCACTCGTGCGTTATTTTCTTTAGATCCCTGCTGGATACCAGGGGACCGTGCCGCACCACTCCCGCATTTTTGTGAATTCCAAGCCGCACTTCTCAATTGATTGCCGTTGCGCTCAAGCCACCGTGGGCACAGATAAGAAGGGCACGATCCATTGCTGACAATCTCCAATAATTAGATGCACGGGGAATACCGAATTAAATCTGGAAGAAAAAGAAACACTTTATTATTATCATCATCCTTTTATTTGCAATTCTATCAATTCGTTTTGTTGACAGTTTGACGCTCGATTTGTTAAGGAAGAATCGACGAGTCAGAGAGAATATTTTTTTCTTTTTTTTTTTAGCCTCGATATGAGATGCACATAATAACACGTATTTGTTTCTAATGTATTTGAACGGTAGTGAAGAATGGATAATGAAGAAATTTCATTACGCACAGAGAAAACTAGGGCGAAGTCAGTGGAACGTTCCATTAAACAAGATATCCATCTTTAAGTTGGCTTGAAACCAGAAATCAAGTACCGCACATATAAAAAATCTCAATGCTTACGTGTGCCAGGGCTCTTTAAAGAGAATCTAGCAGCAGACGCGTTACGCGGACGTACAAATAAATTACGAAGGCGAGATAAGAGGTGTTAGAGACCTCAGAGATATCATTGATAAGCTTGAAAAAGGAAAAATCGCTATCTCTACAATCAGCGAGGGATGCGCAGTTAACAATCAACAATAACGCGCTGCGAACAATTCGAAAGTTCTCGGCCACCAGGTCGGGAAATCCATTTAACGCCCACCCTTCTGCCCTTCGTCACGTTCCGGCCCTTTAAACCTTCACGGCGGGGAACATTTTTAAAGGCCGGATTTTCCGAGAGCGCAAAAGCGGGACGCCAACACACTTCCACACGGGGTTTCCTTTCCGGGGGAGAAGGAAGAAGCGACGGGCGCAAAAAGAAAAGGCGATGCGATTGCGAAGCGACCGCCCTACTCGCGGAAGCGCATCTCGCGTGGGCAGAGCGGGACTTGCAAAACGTCCGGTGGGACGGGACGGCGAACAAATTCGATTAGGCGTTAATCGGAATTAGGTACCGTTGCCGTGCCGCGCGCGAACTGCGAAACTCCGTTCCCCCCTCGACCCCGCTTATCGTTAGACGTTAATCCTCTTTAGCGCCGCGGAACAGATCCATCCGTCACGCTTCTCGCACGTCGCCGCCTGATCGATAGCCGCCCTCGCGTATATGTGTCGCGGCGACGCGATTTATCGCGGAAGCGCAACGGACGATGTAGGAAATCGCGAAGGAACGGAGGCGAGCCAGAAAGAACGGAGAGAATGAGGAAAAGAGGGAAAGAAGAGAGAGAGAGAGGGAGATGGAGAGAGATGGACAGAGAGCACGAGTCGTAGACAGGTGTTGACGCTCGGTCACGCGGCTTGACACAATTTTGACAAGTAACCTTAGGTGACTTAGGTCACGTCCGTGACGTCGCCGACGCGGCCGATCCTCGAGAGTCCTCCTCGCATCCGCTTCGTGTCCACGCATCTGTCCGCGAAAGCGGTTAGCTCTTCCTCGCTCGCGCGAACACGCCCCGCACGGGAAATCGGGCTACGCGCGGCCGTTGACGCGCGAGACAGACAGAGAGAGAGAGAGAGAGAGAGAGGTACGAGGACGAGAGGGACCGTCGTCGTCGTTGACGTCGACGACGGAGGACGGAGGTTCGGGATGGGCCGAGGATGTCGCGTAGTCCGTCTCGTGGAGGCTGGACGGGACTGTTCCGCGGCTGCGCTTTCCTCTCTTTCCTTCACCGCATCGCCTACCTACGAGGCACTTCCTCTCCTTGCCCTCCACGCGTCCGAGATACGAGAGCGCGGATGACTTCACTCCGCACTATCGTAGAAAGTGCAGGCGGGTGCACCTATCGTTCCATCACCCGATGCAGGCGGAAAGAGAAAGAGAGAGAGAGAGAAGCGTCTCACTTCAGGCGACAGGGATCTCTTCGCCGTGACGGCGACGACGGCGCGTGGTCCGCGTGTAACTTCAGGGCGGACGTCCGTCGCCTACGAATCTACATCTACGAGGAATGAGGCTGCTCCTCGTCGACGCTCGACGTTCGTCGCTTACCTGCGATCGGTGACAGCTTGACAGGACGGTCTCTCGAGCCGCGGAATCCTGGACACGACGACCGACTCCCCCACCCCGGCGCTCCGCCGAGATCCGCCGGAATGTAGCCTGATGTAGCCGCTATCTGGTCGACGCCGCGCGTCTCGTCCCGCGGGATCCGCTCATGGGAGAAGGAGAGGGCCGAGGGAACAGACGGTGCGACGGCGGACGGCGCTATATTTACACGGGCGCGCGCAATCGCGTTCCCGTCGCGAGCCGCGCAACGGGAGCTTATCTCTCGCGGGGATCGGCAATCTCGGCGACGGAGCTACGCGCGTACACGGCCATTTTCAACCTATACTGCTCACTACCACGTTTTCACGCACGCACGCACGCGCGAACACATACGCGCGGACGCGAGAGCGCGCGCGGACCTTTCATGCGTGCACGACTTGCACGAGACGCGCTCCACCGCGCCTGGAAGTGACGTATCGAGGGGGCTGGGGGCCCGGGGCCCCGCGCGCCCCTCGAACGTGGCAGCAAGCCGCCATCTTGTCCGCCGCGCGAGTGGGGGACGACGCTGCCAACCTGATCGAACGAAAGAACTGCTGAGCCTCGCGAAGTTACCAGAATCTTGGAAGAAGAAAACGGATTGATTCTAACCTAAAAGAAGGTCGCGACCAGTCGCGATTATTTATACATTTATCGAACGGTATGTGACTTGTGCGACTAATTTTATGTTGATTAGACACCTTACACGTTAAATTTTATTTTCTCCAAAGAAGTTACGTTGCTATTCGCTGTACCTAAAGTCATTTTACGATTGAGCGCTGTTTCGAGGTTATGAGCTGTCAAACTGTTGTCAACGTTCAAGATTTTCAATGTCTTCTCACCAGTTTATCAATTAATGTCAAACGTATTTCACGTGTGTAAGATAATTTTTCTCTCCGTTTGCAGTATATAGCGGCAACATGGCTAAGGAACGTGGCGTCATGAAGATGCTCTGGAACAGTTTTGTATCCTCGCTGAAGCCTCGCTTCGCTCGCCGTAAATTGATCGGCGAGGATTACTACGGCACGAAATACTACGAGGAGGAGATCCGCTATTCCGCTCGGAAGAGACCGCCGCGGTATTTTGTTCCGGTGAACAAGGAAGACTTCGAGCAGGAGCGGCCAGGGGAATGGGAGGCCTGGTTGAGATACCGCAGGAAAGAGCCGCCCACGCGGGAGGAGATAGAAACCAATTACCAATTGGCAATGACCAAGAAGGAGAATGCAGCGAGACTTTTACAGGAGAACCGCCCCAAGAGCGAAGATACCAGAGATCTTCCTGTTACCTCGTCCACTACTCAGGCAGATGTTCCGGGAAACTTTCCAGTCTACAAAGATTACAAAGATTTTGGTCAAGATTACAAACCGAAGGACGCATATAAAAGATAATGAAGATGCCATGTCTATATAGTAAAGTATATTTCTAGATCAAAGTTTTTTTTATGCAACACGTGCATGGAAAGTGCCCCATTACGCACGCTACGCGTGCGTGATAGACCACTTTCCAGGCACTTGCAACATAAAATAGGGAGTGTAAATCGTGTGTAAAGATGAAAATTCCCGGGTGCGGCTACCGCATTCATCTTACGACACTTGTTACACAAATAACTATTCTATTTATGCAATAAAAAATTTAGCAGAATTCCCAGGGAATGGTTTTAAAACAATTTATGCAATAAAGAATTTAACAGAATTCCCAGGGAATGGTTTTAAAACAATTATGAAAAAGTTGTTTGTTCTTTAACATAGATGATAATATAGGTTCCTATTAAAAATTTTAGAGTTACATCTCTTCATTTTACCATTCAGAGGGGATTAATGGGAATTAACGCTTCATGAGAATTTAAATTTGACACTTTAAAGGATTCTTCCTACAAGACTTAAAATCAGAATGATTAAAATTGAACGCACAGTTCAGGATATTAAACCGTTAAGCCTTAAGTGAGTCACTCTGTATATGAAAAATGATTTATTATTAATATTCTATTCTTTTCTATACATGTAAATGAAGATCTATCGCTTTCATATACAATCATTCTCGGCGCAAAATTATAACAAAAGGTACTATATACTGGGTAGGTGTACGAAATATTCATTTCTCGATATACTCTACGACTCTAAGTTTGCAATTGCGGTTGCCCGTGACACGAAACGAATAACGTAGATATGGTATAAAGTTTCGTTTTACATGAGGGGAGGAAAAAAGAAGTTGAACGTATGACATTCTAAATCACATTTGATAAACTTGAATTATCTTCTGCTCCAGATCGCGCTGTGCAGTTTCTAATTACATTTTGCGACTTGGTTACTACAAACTTACGATTGGAGCCGTGATCGTGTGACTTTTTTGACTGCCCAACGCGTGATTCTAAGATTTCGTTATAAATAGTAGTTTAAACAATAAAAATCAAGCTGTCAGTCAACGTCAAGTTTTTCTTATACGAATTAAATTGATAAAAACTTAATGCATAGCAAACGAGAGCATTCTGCGCATCAACCAGAAAAATCACTATTATCAAACAGGGCTTGATCGTACAGTTCCCCCTTGACCAGTCGTCCGCCGAAATAACGACCGTTCAGCGAATCTCTTGCTCGTTCCGCTTCTGAAAATATGAAAATCAATTCGATAATTATGACAGACTGTTAATACATATGCGATACGTATATATTACAGGGCGATCTCTAGATTATTTCATATTCGGAAAGTACGATCAATTTGGAACACCCTGTGTACGTATAAGTATATCTTTACCGTTCATTTCGGCGAATTCGACGAATATCTTTACGATGACTTCCGCGTTTTCGTCATCCTCGGACTGTCTCTCTTTATAAATAATAACCCGTACGACCACACCGAACTTGGAGCACTCGTCCTGAATCTCCTCCTGTAGGGTCTCGTCCACATCCTCCGGTGCCACCATATTTCTTAAAATAACGACTCGGGACTCAACTTTACGCATAAGCTTCTGCATGACGAGATGACGCGCGCTCTGGCCCTTGATTGACATATTCTCTTGCTGCTGCAACGTCTGTGGTTCCGTTTCCTCTAAGAGTTTCTTCTGTAATTCTTCCTGTTGTTTCTGATGAGCCGCTTGTTCCTGCGCTCGCCTCATAATATCGGAATTTGCAGTTGTTGTAACTGGTATCTAACGAGCAATTAGATTTTTCATAATTGGCACGTTGAAGATTCAATATTTTTTTTTTATTTCGATGCTTTTTATTCTAATATATTGGTAAAATACTTACAATTGGCGTGCCGACAATTGTAGGCGCGACAACAGCAGGAGGTGGTATAACGACCGGTTGGCCAGGAATCGGTTGGATAATAGCGGGCGGTCGCGTTAAGGTTTGCGGTATGGCTATGCCGGGTGGAGGTATCACTGGCGCTACTGTTGCCACCGTCGGTGGTGCCATTATCGCTGCAGGTGCTATAGTAGGTCGTACTACGCCAGGAAGCGCTGTAACAGAAACAATGGTAAAGATGTAAATGTAAAAGTGATCGCTCTTTCTCTTGCAACACTTGAGTTCGATGTAGATGTAAAAATTACGAACTTTGATTCAGGATTGGTGGTGCGGCAGCCCCAAGTTTAGTGAGACCTAACGCGACCGCGTTACTGGCAACCGCGTCCATCGCTTGAATCTTTGCTGTCGCGGCTGCTGCGGCCACCGCGGCCGCAGTCGGCATCATGCTAGTACCACTGGGTGGTCCCATGAGTGCATTCGGCGGCGTTATGGCTCTCCCTACTCTCAAATACTGGCCACCCAAATCGAACAAGTTCATGGAGGCGATGGCCTCCAGCGCAGCTTGCATTGTCTCATACTCGATAAAGCCGTAACCTTTGTGTCGATGGGGCGAACTGCCTTGTGCAAGTTTGCAATATGTGATCGGCCCGAATGCCTCGAAAACTGACTTGATGTCGTCTTCCGTCAGGTCTTGGTGTATCGACGCGATATAAATGCGATTATAATGTTTGCTCTCCTCGGTGATCTCGTCGATCACAGATTGCGCTTGTGGCATATTGGATGGACGTCCCACGACCTAAGGTAAATGAGATAACGGCTAAGATGTATTCTTTAGCGTTGTGTCAACATGCAAAATTATTTAAATAACTAATTTTAATAGTTTCACTTAATTTTTTAAATAAATATACAACATAGAATATGTGTGATGGGATGTAATTCAATAAAATGAACTCAAAGTAATGTACACATAGTAAAAGTATACTAATGAATTAAGATTTTCGAGCAAATTGCAGTTTAGACGCAATTCGCTCGAAGATCGTAGGTATTGGACTAAATAAAAATTTGCCGACCTCCGGCGGGATGATAGGATTGCTGGGGGACAGGAAATTCGTTATATAGGTACGTCCTGCTACCTTGATGTTGCGGCCACCGATCATGACACCGTTCATTTGCTCCAAAGCAAGTTGCGCGGCTTCGGGTATCTCGTATTCGACAAAGGCGAAGCCCTTGTGCTTCTGCGTAACGGGATCCCAAGACATATTGATGGACTTGATCGGTCCGAATGGCAAGAAAGCTTGCCTGATTGTATCTTCTTTCAACTCAAAACTGATGCTGCCCACATAAACCCTGTCATACAATTATATATTATTAATATTGATATTACTTAATGTAATTGTAGTTTCTTGCTAACAATATTCAATTTTATTCGAATTTCCACATATATGTCATTTGCATTAGAATTTCAAAAAGCATATTTAATTTATATTAATAGAATATTATATATCTCTAATATTAAAATATTCATTTAATTGTTATAAATTGTGCAAAAACAACGATATTAATAACAGACATTGATTCAAAGATTGTTGCATATATCTATCAACATATTTTATAAAATTTACAAATATTGCACATAGAAATAATAGTCTATAAAGTTCTTATAAGTGATTAGGAATATATTTATTTAATTCACAATCTCTCTAATACAAAAATATTTATTTTTTTAATTCTCATATAGTATAATCTATTTCATAGAAAAAAAAATAAAATAAAAAAATTTCTATTTATTATGGCTTAATGTAATAAATTTTTGCTAATATATTATTTTTATGCTTAAAAATTACCCCAATATTATAATACGAGACTATGAGATAAGAAAATCATTACTAACAGGAATTAATATGATGATGCTGTGAAAAGGAACTATGTACATGTATAGGAAGGATAATGACCAACTTATTTGCTCCAGGACGTCTGAGGACAATGGATAACATTAAAAGCTACAGGGAACTAATTTCTGTAATTTGTTAATGTGACTGGAAAACTTGTCGATATCCTTTTAGAGTTAAAAATAGAGAAAATATTGATAACTCTGTAATAGTCGCTTCTCTAATTTCATACACTTTACAACTTAATTACTAAAATATAAAACCAATAGGTGTTTTGTAAAAAAAAAAAAAATTAATCAACGTTTGAGTATAATTCTCTTGAGCTAGGTCTTGCACACGGAAGTTTCGACGATTGAGACAAAGAACAAACAAACCTGCACATGAGAGCGAGAGCCTGCTGTCTTTGCACCTGATTCCGTTGACTAGCCATTTGCTGCAACACAAAGTACCAAAGGCCTTCTATTGATATCCCTCCCCCATTTACAATACATCTCATTGAGTCAAGTAATCCCTGAAGCTCTTTTACCATTTTTCCAACTTCTTTGCTCGACTTCTTCAGTTATCGGAAACACGCATTGACGTTACTCTTAATGCTACAAAAGCATCTAAAGCAAATCAGAATTTTAAGAAAATGTATCAATTTTTCTAATAAAAATAATTATTAATTTATATAATTTGTAAAGTTTATAAAAACTTATGAAAATTTATAAAATTTACATAAGACAAATTTGATGATTTGTATATCGAATGTTTCAGAGCAATTTTAATATTTCTCTCTTTTTATTTGCTGCATTTTTTAATAAATTCGGAGTAGTTTTTGCGCCACTCTTATTTTTCGAAACAGAGAAGACGAAGTAGTCGAGCTCAGAAGAATCGTTTAAATCATCTGAAGATTCATGCATTCACGAAAACTTATCCAGCTTCGCATTGTACAGCTCTGCTCCCGCCGACTATACTATCACAAATTATATCTAACCTTTTCTTATGGTAGCAACTCGGGAATATGTTTAGGAGTGTTCGACCATAAGGCGGATTTATCGTTTCTTTCTTGATCTGATGACACTAACCTGCACATTAGCAATAAAACTTGCTGCCGCAGGACCAACTTATTTTTCTGCGGGGAGAAAAAAATGAGCCAATCAGAATTTAATCTTAATGTTCATTTTTTTAGAGTATCTGTATAGTAATTGACTCGGCGGGATGAGCTATATATTAAATATTTCAGAATTCTATACGATATTATTTTATATATTGCAATTAAATAATCGGCAAAGGAGCTGAATAGAGACAACTATTTATATATATAAATAAAATATATCATGCAAACGAAACTTTATATACGTTAAACTTAATCACCGAATTGGCTAATCAGCAGCTTATTTTATGGACGAGTAAAGAGCTGCACGTAATACTATATTCAACAAATTTATGAAAGATGGAAAAACTAGTTTTGAAATGTAATATTCCAATAGATAATATTTAATAATTTTATCACAAATTTTGATCACTTTCTCGCAATAAGCAAATTCGGCGATTTTCATGCATGTACATCCATTATGCATTCTTATATGTAAACATCGGATTTTTTTATACAGATTGTTAGAAGAGAGCAATTAATAACTAAAAGATTTAAGTTACTTATAATATCTAACATACTTGTACTGTAAAATATGTTAGATATTATAAATAACCTAAATTTAGTTATTAATTACTCTTTTCCACCAAGCTGCATATGAAAAACCTGTCTATAAGAAATATAAAATATTTTATTAAAAAAAAAATTGTTATGATGGTTGTGTGAATTAATAATTATACATTGAACATAATTGTGTCTATAAAAAGTGTAGTTATAATATTATGATGTTAAATTTTATGAATGTCATAATGGAGCAAAGATTGACAATTTTTTTAAAAGTTACCTGTTGTTGATGGGCCAAGGTCTGCTTCATGAGGACCATCTTAATGCTTTGCTCCATCGCATACTTCTTCGCTCTATTTACAGTGTCTTGTTGCTCGGAAGTAATTTTCGGTAGACCAGCTCCTAATATTCCAGGCAGTGTCAGATATTTGGCGCCAGGTCCTGTAAAATCACGAAATAGAAAAATGTGTAAGTCAGATATCTGAGGCAATTCAAAGCAATAAAGAATATTTAGTCATATCAGATCTTATCAGCAAAATGTCCATTTGATCTTGGTTGTCAACGCTCAATATTACTTGAATTGGACTGACTTAGATAAATTAATGTCACTATTAATATGATACATCATTTTTCTAAGATAAATTGAATGAAATAAAAAGATTAAAGATAATAATTTAAAAAAAAAATATATATATATATATATATATATATATGTAACATTATACGTACCAGCAACGACTTGGCCGATTTGATTGAGATCATATATGGGGCCTGATAAGAACTCTGATGCATTTCCTATAAAGAAATTATGCATTAGACAGTTGGCATTAAGGATGGATATAGAAGTATTAATGATATTTCAAACATTTCATTTTTAAATAGAATCAGTTACGCCACCAAGTTATTTCTTAATGATTCAATCGATGGATTAAGGATTACTTTCTTTCTCTCGTTAGCAAATTGGGTGGCCATTTATTTCACATTTTTAGAATCCAATTCATGAAAACTCTTTTTTTCATTATTTAATGTAAAAATAACTGCTGTCTCAGCAATCAGACGTTTGTTTTAACCAATCTTTGGGGAAAACATTTATATATGTACAGATTCGTACACGGAGATGTATAACAGCTGGATGACCTATTTCCCTAGGCTAGTAAAACTTCTATTAGTCGCATTGATGTATGCGGGCGCATTATTCTTATTCGTATTGTGGAATATCTTTCTTAACACGGGAGTACCGTGACGCCATGCCAGAAGCTGCTATGATAAAACCGTCCTCCAAACTGTAAGTTCACAGAAATTAAAACGATCAAGGAATATTACAACTCTTTTAATAAATATGGTTGTATGGGTGTGTGTTGATGTGTGCATGTGGATGTATTGTAGAGATATGTATGCAAAATGTATATATGAAAACCATATATTTATGCAAACATCGAAACGAAGAAGTATCTCTCGTTTGATGCATGCTATTGGAAGAAACAGAGCGTAGATTGTACGAAGACCACAAGATAAGAAATTTTGTCAGAAACGATACGACTTGTAAGAGAAAATAGATGGACCGAACATTATTCATATGCATTAAACTTTGATAAAAATTAGTCATTAGCCGAGGAGTGTCTTATTTAAATTTGAGCTTTAAGTACTGTTTGCACAATCAGCCCCAAAAATCAGACTAGTCATAATTAGATTAGGTTTCATAACCAATTTGGTCTGCTAGTCTCTGAAACAGAAATCAGAAACAGAAAAACAGAAGTCAGTTCGACTTTTTCATGAATTAAAAAAGGCTCTTAAAGTTTTGTGCGATCATTCGATTTACAGCTAACCGTGTTCTGGGCTGAGCAATGACGGTTGTGCGCAAATTATCCGAGATTGAGGCGACGCACAAATCTGTAAGCACAAAGCAAAGGAGAATACTCTCAGTGCATTTTCTGCGCCATATTCTTAGTCTTTGCCTTCTCCAACCTACCACTTTTCAACCTAACAAATTTTCACGTAGCAATGGCGAGATCTTTAAATGCGGATACGTGAATTTCTTTTCTTTTTCCACGATTAATATCCAGAATGCGATTACTCAACGGTTCAACGTCACGTAATACTAAATCGCATTTGCGGTCAATTTCTTTTTTTCACTCGCATCGCCTACATGCACACTCGGACATCGTTATAACATGTCTCGAATTAGCGCGTATATACTGCTTAGCGATGGCAGAATAAAATGTCAAGACGAAGGCGTAACGGGAGTGGATATCACGTTCTCATCATGTCATATTTGAAAGAGATTCAATTAGAATCTCTAAGCCACATCCATGGCTATATCGACGTCCAAGTGTTGGGACTTATCGACATTATCACCTAATGCAAATATAATATAAATGCATGTTCGATAGATATATGACAAATTTAATATATACACCCTTCGCCATTGCCACTCCCGATTACGAGCCTCTAGATACGTTGATATTTGCAGGTAGAGGTATCACTCTTTTGACAGTAATATCTCCACGAGATAATCATATACATAAAAAAATGTCTCTTAATCGTTATTATGCCGTACATATTGATAAAGATAAGATTTCACATATTATTGTTCACAACGGTGGAATTAAAGTGGCGCCTATCCTCCGAAAGAGGCTCATAATCAGGAACAGAGAAACTCTAAGCCCTAAAATGCTGACCTATCTAAAGTATGCATCGTACTCGGCAATAGATACGGTATCAGTGGGAGTTTGTTAAACTCTGATTTGTTCTGTTCAACGAATGTAGTCTTTCATTGTTTGGCGCACGTTCATGATCACAGCTCAGTCGTAGGCCACGGATTCTGTACTGTCTCTCCGCTGTAACATCTCAGAACAGAAGGACAACCATACATTAGTGTGATTTAGGCGCCATACAGTCATCATCTATTTACCCTAGCCTACCGAAAATTTTATGCTCAAAACTGCTTCTGAATAGACGCATTCTGCAGTTTTATAGAGTATGGCAGCATTTTTTTTTAAGAGAAAACTAGCACCTGAGTGTCCTAAGTAGCTATTGTACGCATTTCCACGTCATGTTCTCGTTCTTAATACACATATTACACTTGCTGTCGTTTCTCTGTCTCATTGCGTTTCCCACTAACAAAGTTATGTATATAATATCGTAGTTATCACAGGCATAACGGCTATCTGGCTGCATTAGCAATTTACCTTCCACTTTGGCCTTCTTCGCCGGTGGCTCCGCACTGTTTTGTGACGTCGGTGCCTGCAAACAAAAACAAACCTGGTATAACATAAAGTAAGATCGACAATTGACAATTTTATCTGTATTATAAATTCCGCTGTATTATAAATGTTTGCCATATCCTAACAATTTGTCAGTGGATTTGAACAGAATACCATGACAGATTAGCGTCAACCAAGTCCACATCGAGCTCGCATTCTATCAGAAAGCAGATTGCAGATTGCCAGCAGAAACCAAACAGAATTTTATAACCATTTAAATAAAAAGTACCATTTAAATAAAATCACGAAATAGCAGATTCTGTTAATTTAATAATCTACCACCCCATGGTCTGCTGAGAGATTCTATTTCTATTAACATTCTTACATAAAATCTGCAAAATCTATTTTTGACATATTTGTCTGGTAGCAAGCAGTGTTGGCGACACACTGGCAGTTCACCAGCAGATTTGAACAGAACATTTCAGTAAATCGACATCAATTACATCCGCTTTGAACCTGTGTTCTCCACTCAATGTAATCTAACAACAAAAACCAAATAGAATCCGAACATACATAATAGAAGAAAATGAAATAAAACATCATTTAAATGATCACAATAGATTCTGCTTAGCTTTCGCATTCAATCTATCTATCCCATTCCATCAGCAGATTATCCTCTACATTTTCATGGACATTCTGCCAATGAAATTTACAGCGGACAACTTTGCAAGATTTGTTCTCGGTAGATTTGGTTATCTGGACGCATTTCTCTCTCGGCCTGGCGCCGTGCCGTCCGACGTCGCGCGAGAAAAGTCGGACGCGACGCGGCCGACGATCGGCAAGCCGCGTCGGCGAAAGTCGGAGTACGATCGCCATTACGCTGCCGAAGGGTTAGCCGCGGTCGTCGCTCGCTGCGTTCCCCGTGGGCGTTCCTCGCGCGGAAGGGACTCGCTCACCATAGCCATTGTTCCATTCATCGTTCCTCGTGAGCCGTTTCGGGGACGGAAGAGGACCTCGGGATCTGCCGTAAATTCCTGACGAAACCCGCGAAACGCGCAACGAGTCACTTCGCGGGACGATGCGCCTCTTCTTTGCGGAAGTACCGCGCGCCGGAAGTGCACCGTGCACCGCCGCGCCACTTTCCCCCCGTTGAGCGCCCGTCGGACGGCACCGCGGAATCGCGGTAGAATTATTTACATTTGCGTATTTTTGTTTATTTATTCGCTCGTTCGCACCGCGCGAAAAAATGCGACTTGAGGGCAGCTGAGGGGAAAGAGAAACGAGAGCGTCCCGCGGGCGTGAGGCGAGCGTCGAGCGATTTGACTCGAGCGGTGCGCGATCCGTGACAGCCTTCAGGGCGGTCGTCGATTCGCGCTCGTGGTTAGGATTCGAATGGCTCGTGGTGGGTCGCTCCTTTTTTTCTCGCCCGGTTCGCTTCTCGCACACGCTTGACACGCTCGGGATGATCGACGACGAGATTATGGCGGACAAGGGCTTCTTCATCAAAGTGGTGGACGACGAGAAGGTGAGGCGCGACTCCCGGATTACATCCGCATGCCATTTTCCATGATTCACTATGAAGCCCTCCTCTTTGTTCCCCCAAGAAACTCCCATGGATTATTAATTTACGTGTTCGCCTTTGCGAAGGGCAAAGGGCTGTTCTCCAATCGCGCGTTTAAAGAGGGGGACGTGATACTCGAGGAGCGGCCTGTGGCCTGCTGTCAGTTCCTGTGGAACTCGGAGTTTGGATACCTGGCGTGCGACCACTGCCTAAGGCCGCTGGAAACGGCGGAGGAGAACGTCCGCAGGCTGACGGGCAATTCGAGCTTCGTTGTGCCGCACAAGGAGTGCTGCGAGATAAACAAGAGCTTGATAACCGAGTGCCCCCTGTGCGGAGTCAAGTATTGTAGCGTAGAGTGCCAGAATGAAGCTTTTCAGAGGTAATTACAAGTCAGACTTTTACACGCTTGCTGCAGCTTTCAATCCCATGTGTTGTATTAACATGTTTGTTCATTCTTCTTCTTCTTTCAGGTATCACAGTACGTTGTGCCTGCAAGGGAGAGTCAAGGACGAGAGCCATCCTCTCAATCAGTTGTGCGAAACGTGGAAACAAATGCACTATCCACCTGAAAATGCGTCAATCATGTTGCTAGCAAGGATGGTCGCTGTAGTTAATCAAGCGAACGACAAGGAGGAGGCTCTAGCAATGTTTTCACAGTTTTGTCATCGTACCGTCTCTAACGACACGCACGAAATTGTACACTATCTGTTGGGGGAGAAGTTTGTGGGCCAAATCGACGTCCTTCAGCAAATGATGAAGGAGGCTCTCAATACCGAATACACCGCACATGTATGTAATATATGTATATTATTGTTAAACGTATTGTTACATTATTATTAATTGAAATTGTCGCTTTCAGTGGTTCACGCCGGACGGTTTTAGAAGTCTGTTAGCTTTAGTAGGAACAAATGGACAAGGAATTGGTACCAGTTCATTCAGCCGCTGGGTAAAAAACGTTTCCGCTTTAGAATTGCCCAAAGACGAGAGGATTTACATTGACAAATTGATAGAGAGAATTTATGACGCCATGGACGATGGTAGTTTTATCTATTTATATTCTTATAATTTATTTCTCTCCAGATGCCGCACTTAATAAAATATTTTTGTAACTTCTAAAAATTTATTTCGCAGCGGTAGGACCGTTTTTAAATAATGAAGGGTCGGGACTGTACATTCTACAGTCGTCGGTGAATCATAGCTGTGTACCAAATGCAGTCGTTGAGTTCCCTTATTCGAACAATACTTTAGTATTAAAAGCAATACGAGATATAAAAGTTGGCGAGGAAATCTGTACGAGTTACCTCGATGAGTGCCAGCTCGAAAGGAGTAGATATTCCAGGCAGCAGGCATTGAGTTCCATGTATTTGTTCGTTTGTCACTGTGACAAATGCAAAGCGCAAGCGAACGATCCTGATGTGACGTCTGACGAGGAGGAATCCGATGAAGACTGATGAGTGCCGAGCCGAAGGTGCACAGGAATAACGATACAATTTTCATAATAAACAAGATACGAGATATATATCGAACAATATCTAACCCCCTTAATGGACAATTATCTCTAACGGATATCCTGTTACGCTTCAGTCGGCTATCATACATACGGTACACCAAGTGAGCTTCATGTAAATCAATAAAGTAGCATGTAGGATG